CTAGCAAGAGAAAGAGCCGTGGATGGGTTTGTTCCTGTTTTTGATGGCTGTGGCCATCCGTTGGCCCAACGGTTTCGTGTGAGTACGGTGTTTGTTTGTGCTGCCAGCTCGCGCCCGGCGTTTGTTTGTGATGGCAGCTCGGGCCCGGTGCGCGAGTGAAACCGAACCGTGACAAAGGCTTTTGCTCTTTAGTGCTATTGACTGGCTTTTCATACGATGCCTATTGATGCCTAGAGACATGGTGTCTAGCCTTCCCCTGGTACACATTCACGGGGCTTTGTTGAAGTTCGTGCCGTGAACTGCCAAAGGGTTTGAATGGTGCTGGGGCGAGTGCGACATTACGGCGTCCCTGCAGCCGGCCTTATCGCGTTTGTCGCCACAACCGATTTTATAATTATGCCCTTAAAAGATTACTAATTGAATCCGGGAGTCATTCGCCCTTTGTGGATAATTCTCTAAAAACAATGACAGATTCTACTTGAAAAGCATTGAAATTTTCAGAACAAATAATCTACGTGGAGATAATAATTTTAATATAGCTATGAATAGGATCCATGTTTTCCTCGTGCCAGGCCACGAGTTCCCAATTAACTGTGGGTCGCAGCACGGCTGGAAAAAATCCTTCCGCTTTCAAGGAGGACTTGAACCTGGTACCCTCTGTTTCTCAATCATGGTCTTAGACCATCTCACTATGCCTGCCTGCCATGGATGCAGTGAATGGGATTTTTGGTCTTTGACCACATGTTGGTGAACTGATCTACTCACCTCCCACCGCTTTAGGAGCTGCATCTGCGCCTTGATCCTTGAAGGGTGGTGGCGTTCCTACGGATGCGGAAAACTCGGCCTCTGTATAGAGAAACCGAGTCTGACGCGAACCGTGAATTTATTTTTATTTTTATGAATAGGATGAAGGCCGCTGACATCAAGCAACTACGTTAATTGTTTGACATGTATTTACTGTGTATTTTATAACAAAAATATTATCACTTGTATCTTGTTATTTCTAACACCTTTCTATTTACAGTATTTAACTTCAGTTTTTTTGGTTGTATCCTTAGTTCCGTATTTTTCCCACTGATGATAGGAACAAGAAAATCGATTATGGGTTTTCAATAATATTTTTGTTATCAAATACACAGTAAATACATGTCAAACAAGTAACGTAGTTGCGTGATGTCTGCGGCCTTCATCCTATTCATAGCTATATTAAAATTTTCAGAACCTTCAACCTTATAGCACTGTTAGGTACCTCCTCCCGTACCTTTTCTAGCTGGCCTGCATGCACTTACGTACTCACCTTTTGTCTCATTTTGTTCCGTTGGCCTGGGTAGCTACTTGCGCGCCCATATTTGCCATAGCTACCCAGGCCCTTTATCTTGCCGTTCAGACTTGATCTCTTCCTCTCTCTTTTCTCACTCTTCAATGTAGTCGTTTCGTTCGTCTTGGTCTCTTGTCTCGTCGTCTATAATAAATGTCGTTCCCCCAACCTACCTGTTCCCGTTGTAATGTGTGGATAATGTGTCGTCAGTCGTCCTGTTTCGAACTCAACATTGGCGCCCGATTATTGATCGACCCACGGCCCTGAGATCATCCCATGCCCAGTCGTCCTCAACCGCCATTCGTCTCGTCTATGTCAACCTCGTCTCGTCCATGTCAGTCTCGTCTCTCCTACGCCAACCTCGTCTCATCTCTATCAACCTCGTCTCTCCTACGCCAACATCGTCTAGTCTCGTTCAAGCCATGCAGGTCAGCTACCTTTCTCTCTTTCCTTTTTTTGTATGCTTCTTCGTCAAATTTATTTTCGTGAATTTTTTTGTAGTGTGTGCGCGCGCGTGTGTTAGTAAAACATTACCAAGTTAGGGGTCCGATCATGGTGAGCCACGCTCTAATTTTTGGATGTTTAGCAAAAGTGTAACTAGGCTGTATTAGCCGTGCAAAATACTAGTAATTCATGTTCCTCGTCAAACTCCAATAGTTATTACACACTATAAGTAGTACAGGAATGATCTGTAGTGCATTTAGTACACACTTTCGTGAGATCCGTGCGCGCGTGCAGTATGTGTGTGTGTTTTTTTTCTCCTCCAGTCATTTTAAGAAAAATATTTCCTCTTTTTTTCTCTCCGCGAGGACGCGGGATTTTGTTTCATGGAGGGGTGGTATGTTAGGTACCTCCTCCCGTACCTTTTCTAGCTGGCCTGCATGCACTTATGTACTCACCTTTTATCTCCTTTTGTTCCGTTGGCCTGGGTAGCTACTTGCGCGCCCATATTTGCCATAGCTACCCAGGCCCTTTATCTTGCCGTTCAGATTTGATCTCTTCCTCTCTCTTTTCTCACTCTTCAATGTAGTCGTTTCGTTCGTCTTGGTCTCTTGTCTAGTCTATAATAAATGTCGTTCCCCCAACCTACCTGTTCCCGTTGTAATGTCTGGATAATGTGTCGTCAGTCGTCCTGTTTCGAACTCAACAGCACGCACTTCTGTTATTTCTGCTCCATTTCTTCATGTATCTAACAAAAAAGGGGGTTGCCAACATAACAAAATGTTAACTAAACGAACCATAAAAAAACTGGTTTTTTGTACCTTTTTCTAACGCCATGATCCAACAAAGACTATGAGTCCCTGGGGAAGTCCCCGTTTAGGCTGCAACCACACAAGGTACAAAATCACGTACAAACTGCATTACAGTAGAAATCGTCATGCCGACGCGTGCGAAATGCAAAATGCGCTTTGTAGGTTTTCAGCAACTGGCGCACCCCTGTAGAAAGCCACGTTTGTCGTTTTCGTCGTTTTCGCGCTCCATCTCCTGTGTACAACTTTGTTTTTGTACCTGGTCGTCGTACATAGCATCAGCATCAGCATTGTTTTTGAATTTCCAGGTCTTTTTCAGCGCATGGCACACGCTTTGGTACGACAACGTCACGTGCTGTTCGCGTGAAAACGTCATCTATGCAGACCGAAAAGTGTAGTGTGGTTGCGTACCGACTTGTACTGAGATATGCATGAAAATTTGTACTGTGATTTTTACACTACAGAACAACAAGGACAATCAAGGCTTGTTTGCTGCTACTTTAAGTTTCATGCTTACGCAATCATCAGGCAACATGAAGATCGGGTGCCGACCATGCCGGTATATATGCCAGGAGAGGGTGGTATAAAAAGCTGTGTGAGACTGTGGGGGCTAGCGCAGTAGCGGTGATGTTTTAGGCAGGGGGCTGTGTGCAGAGTGTGTGGTTGTTGAAGGCAGGGGCTAGCAGTGCAGTGTGAGCGCGAAGTGTGTGGCTGGTGTGGGCAGGAGGTGGTGAACAATGCGTGTGGATGATGTAGGCAGGAGGCTGTAGAGCTAGAAGTGTGATAATAGCGCAATGTAAAGGGATATGTCTGGTGTGGGCAGGGTGTTATGAGCAAGGTGTGTGAACGTGAATGGTGTGGGCAGGAGGCTGTGGAGACATGTTTAGGTGACACCGTGGTTTTTTAGGAGATACTTGTTCTCGTGTCGGCACTTGGACACCATTTCGGAGCGCTTGTTGAGGCTGGACGGTGACCCTAGCGTGTTCAGGATGTGATACTTTTCTCTGGTACAGAGGGAACACCGCTTCGTGATGTTGGAGTATGCCCGGGCGCGATCTTTTATCCTCCATTCGACTTCGTATTGGGCGTTGGATTTCTTCAGCTTCCAGATGTAGTTGGAAAACTCAGTGCAGCTGGAGTACTTCTCGTATCTTGTTGTAGTCATGTGGTTGGCATGGCGTGACTTGAATGGTGGCGCCGACATACCGGTGTATTCCTTTTTGGTGGGGCCTGACGTTATGGATGCCACATATATCAGCTCCGTCGTTTGGCATTCACCGTTGAGTGGACAAGATGGCTTGTCTCGGCAGTTGCAGGGCTTTTCCGGTTTTTTCGTTTGCGGGCAGAGGACCGCTTTGTTGTGGCTTTTGATGCGTGCAGCCATATTTGGCATGCAACTGTAGCTTATCTTGATGGTGTTTTTTGTGAATATTTTTCCGAGCTTCGACTGCGGGGGGAAGTGCTTCTTAATGAGCGCGAGGAATCTTCCACCGATGTTTGTTTTCACATTACGGCTGTAGGGCGGGTTGTACCAAATCACCTTCCTCTTCCTTTTCTTCTTTTTGCTTGTTTTCTGTTTGAACTCTAGCGTGCTAGGGTGGCCGCTGGCGTTGAGGGCCTCCGCGTAGATGGGGATAGCATCACGGAACACCGCCTCTGAGCAGGAGATGCTTGCCAGTCGGTTGTTAATTCCAGCTGGGATGTTCTTAAGGACTTGCGGTGGGTGATTGGAGTTGACGTTGACATACAGTGGGGTGTCGTTGGGTTTTCGGTACGGTTGGTAGGTTCCTGTGGAGAGGCTCATTGTGATGTCTAGGTAGTTAACAGCGTTCAGGTTGACGTCTATCGTGATTTTTAGCCCCAGCGTCTTGAAGGTGTCGATGACAGCTTTCCGTACTTTGTCCGCACTGTGGCCAGTGGCGTTACGGAGGACGGCAAGCCCGTCGTCTCTGTAGAGGCCTACCGAGCCGCTACTGAAGTGCTGTTCGAGTTTACCCAGGAGGAAGGCGCCGACGATTGTGATTTTTACGTAGTGTGGTTGCGGCCGTAGGTATACTGTTTAACGTCATATTCAGTTCTCACGCAATTTGTACAATTCAAGCCAGTATATTTTTCATGCTTGGGTGGTTAGTTATTTTTCTGCAGTGTCAAAGTAACTTTGCAAATTGCGTTTTCTTAGCTTTGCAACAAACCTCATGCTTGACAATAGAAGAAAAATGACGGAGACTATATGTTACACAGGTGTATGTGAAGTGTGCAACCTAACCCAGTTGCATATGAATCATGTTGTGGTTAGGAGTCTAGGTTATTCCTGAAAACAGGGTCATGATTCGGCCTTATAGATTAGAACCACTACAGTCTAGACTCAGTGTTTTGTGCACTACCCGGAACTATGCAAGAACAACATTGTCTTTGTGCTTTGTCGTTTGTAGACATTTGCACGATAATCAGATTCAGAATTTAAGTGACGGTGTGTTCTCTGGTCTACCAAACCTCCGAACACTGTAAGTATTATCAACTGCACAGCCTCCTTTTGACTGATTTAGTTCACTTGTGAAGCCTACGTACGATCAACTGCACCACTGAACGCAGAGAATAGTAATTATACCTGTGTGTTTAAAGAGTACTGCTGAATACGTGATAAACAAACCTATAATATCTGTGAGTATTATTATCTGCTGCACTGGATAGAAGGGAACAGTTGTAGACGCTTTGTGTAAAGCGCTTGTTGCATATCGTTTTTATTTGAAAGAAAGACTTTTCTTTTCGACTCTCTCGTACACACCACAAAAACAACAATAGAACTGCATGGTCGCAGAAACAGCTGCTCCAATTCTTGCACCGCATGTGTATTAACATAACTATGCCGCAGGCATAGACAAGCATTTAAACATAATTATGGCAGCCTGGTACACATCGCTTTAGCATAACAAAAAGAAAACAACGCAAGACAGTAAGCGATCCAAGCCATGGTACGCTGGATACATGAACTTCCGATAGAATTACGTTCACCGCGGCTCAGTGCACTGATTAATGGGAATTGCCGCCAGCGACAATAGTGGAAATGCTGAATAACCCCAAATGGGCCAGTCTAAAGCTAATGTGCTACCTCAATACAGACTTATCTGAAATTGGCCTCACGCACACACACACACGCACACACACACAACCACACGCGCGCGTGCGCACGAAAACATGCTCGCCACCTACACGCACTACTGCTTATTCAGCCAATAAATCCGTATGCACATACATATCTAGCAATGAATATCCAATTGGGTGGGCGGGTGGGATTTGCAACTGTACAGCAGCAGTGCAAGAACAAAAAGAACACTGTCTTAACAAGAAATGAGGCATTTCATGGCTCAATTTTGTTGTGGTCCTTTGGTTTATTTTGTTTTGTTTTGCGCTCTCCTTTTCCCCAGTTGGACTATTTGGTTTCACATGCAGTTTGTGCATGCACCATGGAACGGTTACGTCATTGTCATGCGTTTTGTGTTGTTTTGTTGACGCGCATGCTCATGTGCTGCCATGATGTTTGTCTTTTTCTTCAGTTTCCAGTTTACCTTGTTGTGTCCGTTGTTCTTGTTTGTCCGTTGCCCGTCTTCGTCTTGTCGAATAATTAAAAAACTTTAGTTCAGTTTTGTTGTTGTGTATGGCGGGTCGGATAGGCAGGGAGGCTGGGCGCCTGACGCCTGGACAATATGTGCGGGAGCACAAAAGTGCTTTATCATTCTAGTGACCCGTCAACGTCTCACAGCTCGTCTTCTTTATCCCAAATCCCATTGCTACATCACTGCTTGTGTCTATCATTATCTGCGCAATACAACCGGCTTGGACAATCGACTCGTCATGATGCTCCTCTCAGTTACAACCCCTGTGATTCTACATAGTGTCATAGTTCCTTCTGTACACTAGTAGGGGTAAGCGGATTATGCTCGGTAAATGACCAGATTATGCTCTAGCGGATGCTCGCAGGATGCTCGGGAAAACAGCCAATTACGCTTTTACGTGCTTCACCAAAAATACCAAAAACAAAACAGAATGATGACAATAATGAAAAAAGTACTCAGAAGAAAAAAAGGATTCAGCCCAAAAATTATATAAAATAAAATAAATTATTCTACATCATACACCTACAGGAAATATTTATTCTGTATTGATTTGAAAAAAGCCTTCGATACGGTGAAGCATCAGCAGCTTCTTCTTGCTCTTGCAGCTGTTGGTATTTCGGGAGCGGCCCTGGTCTGGTCCCGATCGTACCTTTGTGACAGACGCTCCCGGTGTTTGCCAGCAGATGTACACCAGCTGAGGCCGTCGCTACCGTCACTGATTCGTTTAATACGAGAACACTGTAACTTTGATGATTTCTAAGTCTTCTCAACCCCTCTCAACTCCAATCGTTTTTAACCAACAGCCTCTGACTCAAGTGTCTAGCACGAGAATCCTGGGAGTCATTGCAGACAGTGATGTTTCTTGGTCTGGTCACATAGACTTTGTCGTTAGGAAGACTTGCACAAAGGTTGGCGCTCTTCGATGGTGTTTTCGGAAACTATGTTTGAAGGCAAGACGACAGTTTATCCTCTCTGTTATCCTGCCTGACTTACTATACTGCTGCTCTTGCTTTGCAATGAAGCTATCCGCCAAGGACCGACAGCTCTGTATGCGCTGTTTGTGGCACGAAACTACAAGATGACGTCATGCCGCTGTTAACTAGATTGTCGATTTATCCGTTTGAACATTACCTTATTCGTAGCATTGCTAAATTTATCCATGTTAATCATGTTGTTTTCCCTCTCCCAAATTTTACGGACCTTTTCCCTCTAGTTTCAACCGGCCCTAGGACAACAAGAAGCTCTTTTAACCCTTTGAAGCCCAAGGACGAGTATACTCGTCCCTAGTGATTTCCCAAGGACGAGTATACTCGTCCAAACGCGCACTGTGTACGCATATTGGAATGAAGCCAGCATAATTATAATTCAAATATTCTGAAGAAAATGAATACAAATCATTCATATTATGGACAAAATGCGTTCAGAAATGCCTTTATGGATGAATATGGAATGGTTGAGGCGTTTGCAACATTCCCCCATGGATGAACACTATCATTACGGTTGCAGGGGACACACCCCAACGTGCGCGCTGCATGAGTAGCGTGATACTCGCCGAGCGCTTTTGCTGTTGCCTAGAAACGCGTTTCTGTCTTTCCTGGGCCTCCAAATGCATGTTGGGTGGCCCTGCGCATGACTGCACGTTGTCATAGCAACCTTGGAAGCTCAATCCGGTTACCAAGCTAGGAATCAGACCAGGCTGCCGAATAGCCCCAAATTCTGCGTTGGTCAGCCGAATGACCTTAGTGTGGTATTCAAGCGCTTCAGCTACATGTACGTAGTTCAAATGCGTGCCATTCGTATGTTTGTTTTCCCTTAGTGACACTGATAAGGGTTTGAATCGCATGTAGTCGGCAAAAGCAATGGGTGGCATGATGCCATAGGTGGGAGCTATAGCCCAGCAACTGAGTGGTGCAGATAACTTATGAGTATCAGAGGCGTGCGTGCTCAGTCAGTGCTAGAACGTGAGTGCATACGTCCGCGAATGGGCGTACCAGTGTGTGCGCAGCGTGTGTACCTGCATGCATGCTTGCGCGGTATCAGACTGCGGGTGCGCGTACGCGTGCATGCATGTGTGTATGCGTGCGTGTGTGTGTGTGCGTGCGTGTGTATGTGTCTGCGGGTGCGTGTATGTGGGTGTAGCTGTGCGCGCCTGCGGACGGTGAACAGTTACTTTCCACAGCGAACATAGTTCTTGTAGCAGGCACTTCGCCATCTGCCGAGTTTCATGATCTCGGATTCAGTGAAGCCGCTCATTGCTCCTGTGGTTGCGGCTCCGGCTCTGAGGCCGTGCAGTGAATACTGGATCGGTGGGTACCCTGCGCTGCTCAGGAGCTGACGGATTAGAGGTGTGAGTCTTTGTGCAGTTAGGAACTTGCCACAGCTGTCAACGAACAGTGGTCTATTGGGCAGGTTGGGGCATCTGGAGAGATAGGTATACATGGCTCTGACCGGACAAACCGTTGAGTTGGTGGTTGTGAGCCGGACGGAGGACCCTTGCTGAGTTGGTCGGTCTTGGACTTCTTGATTGTGACCTGTATTGCCTGCGGCGTGACGGAGAGGTCTTCTGTTCGGAGGCCACCATCTGACATGGTTGTGGCGGTTGTGGAAGTGTGCTCACTTGCCCGGAGACAGGCAAAGAAGCCCAGGCAAATAGCTGCCCATACCATGGCTCGGTCGGTCGCGTTGAGGTTAGACCGTATCAGGGCATTGTGCATAGCTGCCCTGTGGGGCAGGAGGATTGGCTTACTGGCGTTTTTAGTTCGGTTGGCCTGTGCACGTGCCACTCCTTGAACTGTGAGGTCCACTCTTCGCGACGAGAGATCTTTGCCGTTTTCTTTGGCAATTGCCCGGATCGCCGACACATACAAGCGGACGGTTGACGCGGCATGTTGACGCGCCAGGTAGGCTACAAACACCAGCATGATGGTGTCTGTAATCGCCTTGGTGCCAACTAGTTGGCAGAATTGGTGCAGTCGTTTCCAGGCTGTCGCGTATGTGGCACGTGTGGACGCTGACAGGCCTAGCCACTGGTAGGCCTGACCCTCCACCATCAGAGGGAGTAGGTGCTCTCGGGCACCGGAGATGGCGTTTCTTGTGCTGTGGGTGCCAGTCGGCGAAATCGGGCCATCTGAAACCGAGACAGAGAGTCAGCAATCGCATTGTCAGTGCCGGGGATGTGGGAGACTATGACGTGAAAGTTGTGTCGGGCAGCAATGGCAAACAAAGTGCGTACAAGCGCCATAAAGTCGGGCGGGGTGGCACTTTGTGCGTGAGCGGAGCCAGATGTCGCATACGCTACGGTTGTCGCAGTGGAAGCGGATGCGCTTCAGATGCAGCTGCGGTGCCCATGTGGATGCTGCGGCCACGATGGCAAAGAGCTCCATCCACGCGATGGATCTCTGGGATTGGTGCCTCTGCCACCGGTGTTGGAGCCACTGGCCGGCGAAGAAAGCACCATAGCCAATGGCTCTACATGCGTCCGTGTAGAGGTCCATATCAGCGGCGGCTGACCACGTGGGTTCCAGGAAGAAGGCGACGCCACTCCAGGCAGGGAGGAAGTCAAGCCACCACTGGATGTCTGCTTTGGCGTCTTCTGTGATTCTGATGTAATCATTTGGATTCGGGACCGTCGTGCTGAGATCAATGAGGCGGCGCAGAAACATGCGGCCCGCAGGGACCGCCTTGCAGACAAAGCTGAGGTGACCTATCAGGGACAACAATTCAGACTTGCGGGCGGTAGGGCGGGTATGTTGCCAAGCCTTGAGGGCAATGAGAAGGTCTTCTAACTTGTCGGATGGTAGGCGGATTTCGAAGCGCTCTGTGTCCAGCATGACACCGAGGAATGTCAGGGTTGTACTAGGGCCTTCCACCTTTTTCGGATTGACCGGGAA